TTCGCTAATTACATTTTTAAATCATCATTTTTCCTATTTGCCTTTGCATAATCAAGAGTCCGTAACGTTATAATGACCTCTTATATCAAACTACTGATTTTTTTCTGATTTTTTTCTTTTTTTCTTTTTTTTTTCTTTCCTGTGCGTTTATTTTGTTTTATGAAATTTCTAGTTGTTCAACTACGAAAACTACTATACTATATATGATTCTTCCCATCTTACATATATGTAAATATTACTCATTTTCGTCTTAAGGGTGTAAGAGCTTGTTTAACCTCTGAGGTTGTTCTCTTGTACCCCCCACAATATTTGTAACTTATTCAATTTATGTATGTATATATATATTTTTGTGGAAATAAAAAACTGTTGTAACTGTTGTAACTGAAGTAAAAAATAGAAAAACATAGAAGCTTGAAGACGTTTTAAGTAAATTAAGCATTTTTTCCCTAAGTCAATACATTTTCTGTAACACCAAACCTTTTGATGTTCTGTACGCGCAAAATTAACGCAGAATAAACTGATAATCAGTATTGTACAGATAAAAGCAGGTATAGTATAAATTCAATGAAGAAACCTTTCAATTTGGGACAGTTTTTTGATGGTTACCCCCCAAAGACGCAAGACATTATGGGGATGTGAAGGTAGAGAATTACTAAAACACTCAAATTTTCTTTGGTGCCTTCTTCGAATGTGTCGATCTGTTCTTCTTTATTTTTTATTTTCTGAATAGGTGGACATTCGGGACAGCGGATTTGTTAGTGCGACGTGGTTCAGACCTTCGCGCTATTGATCACCTTGGTAACACACCTCTCCACTACGCAGCCGCAGCAGCACGTGACGACATTGCGAAACTCTTGTTAGACAATCACGCTGATGTTGATCCCACCAACAAGTGCGACCAGACCCCACTGCATCTGGCAGCACAGGCAGGAGCGAAGCAAGCTGCCGAGTTGTTGATTAAGAATGGTGCAGATCTGCGCGCGCTGGATAACCAGACAAGAACTCCTTTAGAGATGGCTATTGAAGCTGGGAAAGTAGAAACAATGGATCTTATTGAACAGATATTGTTCGCATAGAAAGACAAGCGACACCTGATTTTCTCTTGCGCATGCTTTTTGGAAAGCTTCTGCTTTGGCGCAAGATGCATGTGTATCTATAGGATGCTAGTATTCACTTGAAATGGAAAAAAACCCTACTTCATCGTGACGATGATTCCACGCGTGCTATTTGATAAGCATTCGTGAGAGTCCTAAGGTTTTGTACAACAGAACGTTTTCACTCAGTTCCTATAGAAGTAACTGACAATATAGATGGCAGCCATATTGGTGTATCTAACAAAAGAAACTAATGACAAAGTTATTGTCAAAGGTACACCAATATGGCGGCTGTGATGTCATGTGAAAAAGGCATGCAACATAGTTCAGTACAACTAAGAAATTAATAATCAAGTTATATTCTTTAAATATTTACTATATATTGTAAAATTACGAGAAATTAACTTTATTGCCAAGCAATATGATATGATTTAAATATGAGAATATATGCATGATGAAAATACGAGATTTTTACTAACATTGGGTCAGGTGTAAAGACTAAAACAAATTCTACATCACAGTTGTGTGAACCGCATTTTTTTATATAGAATGCAGGGAATTACGGGAACTCATAGGCGGTGTAGTGGTAGTATGGTCGCCTCTCAACTCTGGGGTCTCAGGTTCTATTCCTGGAATGGGCGCATCGCATGTGAGTAGAGTTTGTTCAAGGGTTATTTTCTGGGTTCTCTGGTTTTCTCCAGGACAGAATTGAGTTTAGCCGTGCATGCCCTGATTTTGATCAGTCCATAGGTTGTTTCAGGGTTTGATCTGTGAGTTAGCCATGCCCTGACTTAGATCAGCCCAGAGGTTGTTTCAGGGTTTGATCTGTGAGTTAGCCAAACCCTGACTTTGATCAGCCCAGAGGTTGTTTCAGGGTTTGATCTGTGGGTTAGCCGTGCCCTGACTGTGATCAGCCCAGAGGCTGGTCCAAGGTATCAATGAAATTTGGAGAATTTTTCCTACTGAAATATAGGAAATTCTCATTCAAATAGAGTTTTACTTTCGTACTTGTCTAATGGGCTGTGAACCAAACTCCGACACATTCTGTCAGGCTCCTGTGATGGTGATGGTCGCAGAGAATCCTGATTTCCTCACAGGTCTTCTATTGTTGATGACTTTCAATACCCCATTCTCAGCAGTATCTTCATAAGGCTGTATAACTATACTCCTTCTTAATATGGTCTGTATCGATGGCTGGAGTGAGGTTTCCTTACGAGGTCAGGATTGAACTGAGAATTATACCTGCCAAATAATTAAAGATAAATAATTATTAGAGAGTTTTAGATTGACTTTTTTTTCTCCCCGCAAACGGCAAACGTGACTACGTTTTCATAGTTTTCCTTTATTTTACTTTACCTTTTACGAACCTTCTCACCAAGCGCAAATACTCTTTTGTTTTTCTACTACTTGGACTTTTTTGCGATTCTTTTTCAGTAATTTGAAAGAATTTTTTACTGGTCAACTGACGTTTCACGTTTGCCGTGAACGTAAATCTAAAACTCTCTATTAACAATAAGCACCCCGCTAGTGGTGGGTACCGTTATATGCCACTCTTTTCTCAGAGACACAACACCTCCTCCGCAGGCCACTCGCTAAGGTTTCTGTTGGTTTGGTTTTTGTTGCTGTTTGAGAGTGATGGGTATCCTGTGGTGAAAACGAGGAACACTAAGGCAAGCGGGGGAGAGAAAGAAAGCCAACTCTCAGCCAACACAGGAAGCCCAGTATACGAAAAGAGAGAGAAGAGAGAAAAGAGCAAAGAGACACCTGCAGAGGAGACTAACACAGACCAAACTTGTACTAAACCTAAACGACCTACCAATTTTTACGGGGGGGGGGGGGGGGAAAAAAAANGGGGGGGGGGGGGGGAATAAACAACTTGCTTTCTGTGCTGTGTGGAGTTATACAGCACTTGGAGATTGGCAGAACACTCGAGAAGTGTCGAGAAACATTCCGCTACGCGTCGTGCTTCTCCTAACACTTCTCTTATTGTCTATTATCTCCCAATCTTTAAACCAAGCGAAATGAAAAATCGTCAGGAAAACAATCTTAACCAACAGTTTTAGAATAGACAACGTTGGCCTTCCTACGCTATTTGACCGGTGGGAATCACTTTGCTGTAATTTCTACGAATCAATAGTGGTTAAAGAAGACAAACCTAACCGAGTGGAAAAGTACTGATTGAGATTCTCAAGGACTTTTTCTCTTATGTGCAGTAACAAAGCGGTAAAAAACTAGTTTCATCCCTTATGCTGTTAAGTAGTTGGACGCTGCACCATTAAGTAAACTGTACACTGAAAAACTGTCCTTTTTTCACGAGGGTAGCACTTACATTAATTAAGGAGGCTCTGGGTAGTTTGGGTCTGGCACACATAGCCGCATTGAAACCGCTACAACTTCGTCTTGAATAACTCGATCTGCAAGCGCTTTTCACACAATGTCAGGAAAGGATTAAAGGTTTCAAAAATGATAAATTAGTTTAAAGCGGCCTTTTCGTTCTGACGTAATGGTGACATCCTAGAAATCGTTCACCACTTGTTTTCTCGAAAACTAGACCTAAACTCTTAAAGCGACTTGCACCAGTCAATAGTATTCATCAAGGCTCCCAACATATTGCAATATGAAAAAATTGTAGGATAGCGTTTTCCAAATATTACGCGATTGCGGAGAGAGGAAAACCGGAGAACCCGGAAAACCCTCGAAGCACAGGAGGGAACCAACAAACAACTCTAATCATATACAACACAGAACCCGGCGGGACTCGAGCTCGGGTCGCATGAGGAGAGGCGAGCACTCACACCGCTACGCCACCCGTGCTTCTCACTGAGCGCTTATGTGTATTATATGTATTTCATATTTTATTCAATTCGCTTCATCATCAACATTATTATTGTTGAAAACAGTTATCACATTAAATATATATTTACATATTTCATTTATTTATTTATTTCAGTTTTATTTCAATTTCAAAACAGTGTTTTTTATTTTTATTTTTTGCTATACAAGTTAATAAATATATAAACGACTTCCGGGTCCAAAACGAAAATCATTTCTATGAAGATTTTTTAACACTTTTCTTCATGACAGGTTGTTTAAAGTCAAATCAGCTCACGTGTTCCTATCGAGATTAATTTTATTATTCGAAGTTTGATTTCCATCTCGCTTTGAAGCTTGCATTAATCAAACAAACGTTGTAAACTACAATTCTTAATCCGGGCCTTTACCTCAAAATATCTAAGTGTTCATTTGTGAAAGGATTTTTCGAACAAAACAACACACCACACAAATAACTTTAATTAAAATGTTAGCTACGACTGTAGAAATAATTTTGGCTTTGCACGAATCTGTGAAGAACTAAATAAACTTATAATCCGATCCCAAATTTCAAATTTATAACGGTTCGTTTCATTAACGCAAGTTCAAAGCAAGATGGAAGTCAAACTTCGAATAATAAACTGAATGTTTGAACCTCGATGGGAACGCATGAGCTGGTTTGACTATAAACGGTTCTAATTGTTTTAGGTAGTCTAACAGTTTTTCGCTTTATTTTAGTTATATTTCTTAGCAGTTGGACCAGGAAAATAATACGTGACTTAAAAGCTCTATTGATGGGTTGCAAGCATTCCCAAGGGAGTCAAAAGACAAAAGCATGGCGGCCATTGTGGTGCCGTTAA